GTGTGTGTGTGTGTGTGTGTGTGTGTGTGTGTGTGTGTGTGTGTGTGTGTGTGTGTAGGTGTGTGTGTGTGTATGCATGTGTGTATGTGTGTGTGTATCATATTGTATGCTGTCTCTGTATTGTTTTGTATATATGTTATAACTGATAAGCCAACCGACTTAAAGTAATAAAGAACTTGAACTGGTAGATTTCAATCTTCTACATAGACACAGGCAAATTGCACTTTAGCAATCTTTTCAAGTTCTATATAGGTGCCATAGAGTTGATATATCACTTTTAGCACCTGGCCTAGTGATGCACTTTTTATATCAATTGCCTTGGGATAAAAATATGACCACAACTTGGTGTTGAATTCAAACATAGACTAATATGATATCGGGGTTTAATCAATACTTTTTGTTTGTGTTGATCTGCAATCCAAGACGGCCACCTTTGCCTATGATACATTAACCTGGCTAAAACTTAAAACCTTTGTATGTTTTATATGTTTTTCTTCCCTTTTGTACTTTTATTCAGTCTTACCCAAGCTGTACAATCCCAAACTTGTTAGATATGGGGGATTCAATTTAATTAGCAAAGTCGTAATTGACAAAATTGTGACATAAATCACTGACAAAATTTTGACATAAAGCAGACCTGTAAGATGCCATATTTTGCTCTATTCTGTGATTTCTTTTGTTTATTTTCTATTTCCGGCTTGGTGAAGGAATAAACAACGAACGCTCATGTGTTGGAGGAGTTGCCATGGAATCATAACCATATATGAAATCTTTGTTGTGTCTCTTGCAGTGTGTATTTTCTTTTGCCACGGAACAAAATTAAGCTTGCACTAATCGTTTCCATTGTGTTGCCTTATATATATGATTTATGAATGAAACAATTTATTTCAACATATTGGCAAACAGTTTCCATTTAATCATACTGTGATGAAATTCTGGAGTCATACAAAGGTAATTCATGCTATTTGAAAAATCCGGACTCTCCGGGATCCGCTTTTAGTTATTATGATTACTAAATAGCATCCGGTGTTCAAACCAAACTGAAAGTAAACATGAACTCAAAGTCACATGATAAAATTCACCTATGTCAAATAAACCTTTCAAACGCTACATAGTATGGCATATATCCATTTTCTCCCGTGCAAATGAATATAATTACCTGATGACAATCATTTATAACCATATCAATCCAAATATCATACTTGCCATTTGACATTGACTGCTCAAACTTCAAAGATTGCAGTTAGCTCATGTTTCTGAATTAATCATCAGACATGTTGTATGCATTGTTTCAAATAATGTAACGCACTCAATGTTACCTTGAGTATACATTTCCTACCTTCACATACTTTGTTAAGGACGTTTCGGTATCATTGTTTTGATCAGCCAACTTTGCACGCCATTTCCTCCGAAATATTTGAAGGGAAGTAACTCTAATAATGTAATGTTTAGGTTGCATTCCAGCTTTGTTATGCGCGGTGGAAGTTCAAGTTACCTGATTGTTATTGTTTACAACTAAATCATTTAGGAACAAATTAATTTTGAAGGTTGCACTAATGTTTATAGAAAAATGCAGTTGATAGCATGATTCTTGTCAACTTAAAAATAAAATAAATTAATGTAACTTTGTATACCTCGATATATTTGTTAATATTGGATGTTATCTTTCCATGTCACTGTACCCGAAACGGGATACTTTTTAGTCAAATATTGATGTATTTCATATCATAGTATCATTTCAGAAATATTTTTTTAATTTATTTTTCATAAATAGATACCATCCTCTGTTCATATTTCCTGCATGTGATTCTATAAATAGAACGTAAAAAAAAGTAATAAGGTCACGTATATTCTTGACCAGGTGTAACTGTACACATAGTTCAAGTATGTACCAGTTAAAAGAATGGTTCTGGTTATATTTCTTCTAATTGGTATTTAAAATAGTTTTAAAAAAAAATATTGAGAATTATATATCCAAAAATATAGTGCTGCATGACACGTTAAGTAAAAAAAGTTATATTTTCGTTATTATTTCTTATCCGAAAAGGTCCTGGTGTGACCATAAACAGCAGCCAATAAAGCCGATATACATTTTAATTAAAGTATAAGTATCATGCAGTGAAAAATGATTCTTTGAATTGGGTACTGTCTCGTTTTGGGCACTGTCTCGTTTTTGGCACTGTCTCGTTTTGGGTACTGTCTCGGTCTCGTTTTGGGTACTGTCTCGGTTTCGTTTGTGGTGCTGTCTTGGACTCGTTTCGGTTACTGTCTCGTTTTGGTAAAGTCTCGATTTTGGTACTGTCTCGTTTTGAACAATATATCGTTTTGGGTACTGTCTCGTTTTGGATACTGTCTCGTTTTGGGTACTGACTCGTTTTGGACACTGTCTCGTTTTGGGTTCTGTCGGGTATTGTCCCATTTTGGATACTGTTTCGTTTTGGGCACTGACCCGTTTTGGGAACTTACCCGTTTTGGGCACTGTCTCGTTTTTGGGTACTGTCTCGGTCTCGTTTTAGGTACTGTCTTATTCTTGTTTCGGGCGCTGTCCCATTTTGGGTTCCGTCTCGTTTTGGATACACTGAAGTAATGCTCTGTGGTTTATTTCCACACACATTTTATCATGTCGCAGATCAAAGTTTTAAGTAACATCTTTAGATGTCCTACATGCTTGGCTCTGGATTTGTTTTTACTTTCTTGATTACTTTGCTCTTCTATACACCTGGTCCAGAGATGCATAAAATCAGTTTACATACAAATGATGCATGTCTCTGCCTTGTCAAAGTACAATAATGTACAAACCCTCCGGAGTTTATGCTGTCATATGCCATATGTTCCGTTAACTTATTGAAATGATTTGTGTATTAAAAATGAAACTATGCAAAAGGAGTTGTTTAATTTTAACTGGGGTTTTTATTGTCAAAAGAATGAAAAGGGATCGGGTAAATTTTGCAAAACTTATAATTTCACAACCTAAATGTAGCGTACATGCAGCTGATTTTGGTGGGACGATCAAAGGTGGATCACAATATTGCTTTCTAAAGAAGGCAGAACAAAAAATGTCTAATGTCATCATGTATGCTTAGTACATCTAACGACTGTCTGATAAACAAACCGGCGGTATACCCCCCCCCCCCCCCCCCCTCCCTTTCTGTTTTTATTATTATGCAAGGCGACATTTTTTTATTTAATGAATGAAATGTATAAAGTTTCCAATGCATCCTTATATATATATTGGCTGTGGGGGAGTATAGGAATCCTTCTAGATTGAGATGAATTTTATTAGCATGTGACATCTTCATGTTTTCTTGAGTATAAGAAAAAAATATTCAAATATCAATAAACTGATTCAAATGCTATTAGTTAACTTCAAATATTTATCATTCAGTTTTAACATTAAAACTGGTGACTTTTTCACTTTGTCTGACCATACATAATTGTTTCAGTACAATTGCGTCATGCGACACACGTCTGTCAAAAACGTTTTGAGAATAAAGACATATAAAGCTGGCATTATACAGGTACAAATGTATCCCTATTGTATCGGCACGACTCTGAAGAACAGGAAAACAAACATGACAATGTTCATGATATCCAACACTTTAATTACAATTTAGTGCAGTTTAATTCAACGTCGACGTCGACTACCCTTTTTTTAATCAAAAATCCTCATAAAATACGTATGTGTACTTGGTTGATTTTGTTATGAAGATATGAACTACCATAGCTGCAGGAACTGTAGGTAAACGGTCATATCGATTTTAGTTTTGAAATTTTACAAATATGGTCCAATATATAAAATAAAAAAAAAAATAAAAAAAAAAATGATTGATTGATTGAAAGGTATTACGTCCGCTTCACTACCGAGTAGTTCGGTTAAATCGAGGTTCTTATATACCGCTTTATCACAACATAGTTCGTAGTCGTTTCAAAGCGGTTCACAAATTATCATCCGTGGTTATAGGGCCTGTGCAATTCAACCAGTCAATACCTTTCTCAACTCCCTGGGGAGCATACAGCCGGTGCTCTCATTTCGGCGCTCACAGCTAGCATTCAACAATTCTAGCACTGCCCAACCACGTACTCATTTACAGCTGAGTAGACTGGAACAAGCGTAGTAAAATATCTTGTTCAAATATAAAACAAAATATAAAGTGCCGTGACGTGACTCGAACTATTCGGCCACGAGCCCGGCGTCATACTTCTAGACTACCGTGCCTCCTAAACTAAATATAGAAATGTATGTATACTACCAATAGACTTTTCCATACAATAGTTGGAATATTTATCAAAATGTGATTAGTTATGGGAACAAATAAGGTTACCAACAGTTCATAACATGATTCTATTAAAGAACACAAAATTCACAAATGTAGATCACGACTGATAACCGCATTTACACTTGAGTGTGAACATGAACTTTGACCCATTTTTCTGTTTTCACGTATTGTTTGATAAGCGCATATTTTTAGGTTAATGGGGCATTCAGTGCAAATAATGATTATTCAAAACGTAGAGTTTAAAGGACTGGTTGAATTGTTATATTTTTATTACATTTTGCGCGTCAAAAGTGTATCCAAAGATCGGATGATGATTGTTTATCAATCATAACTAAAGATTAGCCCCAGTTTCCTCTGGCCCTTAGGCTTAGACATTTTGACAGCTAAAGATGTCTGACTCTGACACCGGACCGAGACATTTTGTTAGCTAAAGATGTCTGACCCTGACACCAGACCGAGACATTTTGACAGCTAAAGATGTCTGACCCTGACACCAGACCGAGACATTTTGTTAGCTAAAGATGTCTGGCCCTGACACCAGACTCAGACATTTTGATAGCTAAAGATGTCTGGCCCTGACACCAGACAGAGACATTTTGACAGATAGATGTCTGGCCCTGACACCAGACTTAGACAATTTGACAGCTAAAGATGTCTGGCTCTGATACCAGACTGAGACATTTGGACAGCTGAAGATATCTGGCCCTGACACCAGATTGAGACATTCTGACAGATAGATGTCTGGTGTGGGGCAGATTGGTTGTACAAATGTTAGCTTAGCTTTTTATCGGCCGACAATTGTAGTCAGATCCTTAGTGCATTCGGTGTTGATTTTTAACGACCATATCAGTATCGACATTACTGGTGCATGTTCGAAATGTGCTATGTTTGCATTCCCGTGAAATGGGAAGGGCCTACATATAAAAACTTTAATGAGGTAAAATTTATTCTAAACATGACGTTAACGCACTGAAACATGTGATTTACACGATAAATAAATTTAGCTTTGGCGTATTTCTTTACAATTGTTCGCGTTGATAAAAGCGTTGTAACACCACACAATTTAACACAGACTGTCATCTTTAGATAATTCAGATTTCTGTACTACAGTCCTAAGAAAAACCACAACTTCCATACATGAATAATTTCCATTCGAAAGCGTTACTGATTTCCAAACATAGCGTGATATCAAATTCAAATCACGACCTGTATTCAGAGATCACCATACCGGAAGTCCATGTATATAGTAGTCGCCTTAATCAAGTGGTCTTCATTTCAATCAACTATTAAAAAAGGTGTCATGTTTACGTTTTAAAAAGTCTTACAATATAACCAAGTCGCGATGTGTTCCGTCAGTACTTGTAAACAACCAAAGACCACCATTCATAAAGTTTGGTGCATCGGAAAAATTCAATGAATAGAACGACTGATGAAATCAGCTTGCATTAGGACAACAACATACGATGGACCCGTGATGAGTGTAAAACTGTTATTATGATGAACGTTATTAAATGATTGCATGCAAGTTATAGTGTCGTTTAGCTATTGTGACGTCACGAAAATAATGTCTCCAATATTGCGGGTAACATTTGAAAATGAAATGTGTTAGGCATATGAACAAACAATCACTTGTGATCTATTCCCTTATATATCACACATGACTATTTTGTATGCGTCACCTCTCAGATAAGGTTGTCAAACATAATTACACCGGCAGCTGTACTTATGGACCTGAGTACCCCTACTGACCGAAATGTAAGCACAATGTTTTCCTGGAAATGCAAATCTCCAAACTTAGCACCATCTGTTCTCTCGCTAAAACGTTACTGGTTAATTAGTAAAAGTAATGCACAATCAAATCCTAAACACAAAATTGTCGGTGTATCGTGACCAAACTTTTCTAATTAATTCTTAAATATTCAAAAAGGACCCATATTCACTAGAAAGTATCCAGCTGGAAGCAGCATGTACATGCACAGTGGCAGTTTTACTATTCCATACCAGTAGAAAGCTTAAAACTCAAAAGGTGGAGGTAGACATTACCCCAAACCCGAGGCGAACTCGTAAAAGTCCAAACCCGATTTTCCAAAAATATACAACGGAATTGTCTCCATAACAAACGATTTCTTCCCTTCCCATTGGAAAACAAAACTCATTTTTGCACGAGGGATGTAACCAGTTATACATCACCATATGTTGTATTCTTTAGAATTTCTAAAATGTTTCTACAAAGAGGTAGCTTTTCTCCCACACTTCACAGGTACATTCCCGTTTTTGGTAGGGAAAAGATAAAACAGCTGACACGCGCTATTACGTCACAGACAACGCACTTCTTTCAACATGACCTGTGACCCTGTGCACTTTTAGCAAAACCGATAACATCATCACTTTTTACACACATGTATAATACACATGTAAGCAAAACATGGCAAGTTCAGCATTCCGACAGTTAAAAATATGCGAATGTGTTGCCGAAGGAAAAAATGGTGAAAAAGTAAGAACTGTTGATGAATTTAATTGATGATAGTTCGGTGCATTAGGGTCAAGAATACAACTTCGCAGTGAAGGTATTTTTTACGATATGAAAATGTGGGAGAAAAATAATCAATTACTCCTGTGTGATGCAGACAGAGAAATCTCAACCCTCGGGATGAGATATTTTTAGGTTTAGCGCTCGGCAAAGTCTCGTTGAGATATCTCTGTCTTCATCACACGGGAGTGATATAGATTCTATTAATCATGTACTTGCCGTATACGAATGTAACTTTGTAGAAAATCCTACATTTGTTGACATCCTCTTGAATAAAGACAATAAGTCATGATTGTAAATATTTCCATAAGTCAAGGGACAAGTATTCAATAATACCGTTCGTTAGGTTCTTTGGGAAGTGTAGTGCTCCAGAGAAAGGACATTGCTTGCTTGCTTCATTAAGATTGTCTGTCTACGTAATAGATATGGTCAGACGAAGACGGTGTCTACAGATGATGGGGCGCCTTGAGGGGCACTATATCAGACGAAGACGGTGTCTACAGATGATGGGGCGCCATGAGGGGCACTATATCAGACGAAGACGGTGTCTACCGATGATGGGGCACCTTGAGAGGCACTATATCAGACGAAGACGGTGTCTACCGATGATGGGGCGCCTTGAGAGGCACTATATCAGACGAAGACGGTGTCTACAGATGCCATCTTACTGTAATGTCACAACCATAGGCAAAGTGGCATGACACTCTATCCGCTTACACTATTCTGACAACGGGTTAACAAGAAGCGCCAAGGAAGACCCCACCAGAAATGTACGAGTAAATAGGACACGGAAGGAAAAAGTAGAGTTTCTACTTGTTGCAGTAGAGAAAAATAATTTTTGGTTTCTACACTAAAACCCTAGATTTTGCATGGGCCCCACATTAGTCGCCTTATACGATCAAACCGATATACAAACCTGAATCTGTAAGAGTTATAATAGGTAACGGGACTCCTAAATGTTGTAATCTTTTGTCTAATCCTATTTATATTTATGGCGATAATATATTTTTAAACTAAAGAAAAGTAACTTGTATATACAACCAATAGCCATTCAGTTTTCAGATCCCCAGAGTTTGGACTGAATTGTATTGAACTTGATACACCTTATCTTATAACACTTTTCCTGTCTTGTTTTGTATTATCTTAATTCATGCATCTTTTTCGAGGTTAACAGCATGTCATTCCAGCAAATCGAGATTCGATAAGAAATCCAAAACTAGCTCATATTATGCTGACCTTGTCGGCGTCCTAAATTCAGAACGTACCTTGCGGCGAGATTAGAGCTGGCCGGATGGATATATAGACCGACTTTCTTCGCAACCAAGCGGTAGTTCTGCAGGTTCAGATAACCTAACACGGCCCTGTACATTGTGGTAGCAGGCAAGTACTGTTTATTGGACTGTTTATTATATGTTGTTTGATAATAATTTTAGTGTCAATTATTTATCAAATTAAAAAACATTGTAAAGCATGTTGACACAATAACATGCGCTGTATTTTTTTGTTTGATGCATCGTATTTATATTTGTTTACGTTTTTGATAATTCCATAATAAATTATTCCTACTAACAGCATTGTCTAACATATTGAAATAATTATATTCGCTGCAATTAATTGACTTCTTGCATTTGTTTCTATTTCCGCATATTGCTTTCTATTTTTATGTGAATAATCGAGCCAAACTGAAACAGGTGATTTACACGATAAATAAATTTAGTTTTGGCGTGTTCCTTTGAAATTGAGAGAACTAACCACAATAATTATATAAATTCACCTTGGAAATTAATGTTAATTTATTATCAGGGTGAGTAGGTAAATAATCAGAATAGCATCCTATGTACATGCAGTTTTACTATCATACAGTGTTTCAACGTGTATAAAAATCATAATGCGAAAAAATATCATATTCGTTTGAACTGTATCAATAAAATATCGTTTAACTTTTTATCATATATCCTTTTACTAATCATTTAGTCTTCGTTTGAATTTCTTATCATAGTTCATTTACCCAAGTTTAATGTATAGCTAAAGGTATTAGGGCACTACCAGACACTGTACCAATAATGTAAGCTATCTCATTTATTTTTTTACTGAAATATGCCAAAGAGGTTGGTAAGATATCATTGAAACGTATCAACGCTGTCTCATATTCTAGTTAACTCAAACGATAAATATATCTGAAGGCAATGGCGGTTTATGAAATCAGCAATTCCGCATAAAAACGTGATTTTAATTTGATAAAAATTCTGTAAAATAATAGATAAGAAATTGTACCGAGTTAGACACATTCCATACGTTCAGTAACTCTGTACAATCTTTGGACATTCTCTTTGAATCTACTTGTTTCCAAAATAAGAATAATGCACAAAGTTTTAAACTTTAATTGGACAATACATGTTATAGAGAATATTGGCTGATTGAAAATTAGAATAAATGAGCGTAATAATTATTTTGTAAGTAAAAAAACAAAATACCTAATACTATCAAACATTTTGGTCACTGCAGTGTTCTGGTTAGATAGCTATCAAATTATAAATAACTAGTATTCCAGCGCAGTATAGCTGGTTGCTCTGCAACTGGCCGATTACAACAGGTGAACATTTTCCATGTGTCGGTTAAGGAAGATTTTACTGTATATAAAAATACAATGTTTTGTTATAATATAACAAGGTGTGGTATAAAGTCTAGCAAGTAGAGTTCGCGGATAATGACAAGCGATGGAAAAATGGTTACAAAGTCATTCTTACTAAGCAATAATCTCTGTTAGGATAACAATATTTCCTTTCTCAAATGCTATCATTAAACCTATATTTTTTAATTTCTCTTTGGAACAGACTGCGATGTTTTCGCTATTGGTATTGGTAACTGCGGCGAGCTATGCTCTGGCAGCTAACAACACCCATCACCATGTCCATCATGGTCACCAACAAGCAACAACCACCCCGCCTCCCCCGACCCTAGATCCCCTATCTGACAAGGGCAGGATACAAAAACTAGAACAGGAATTGGAGGCTTTGACTAGACAAGTGATGCTACAGCAGCTGTTTGTTGAAGAACGCATACGATCCGATGGCGACTCCGGAGTTAAACAACTGCGCCACAACCACGATGGCACTGCCCCGTATTTGACCACGTCCTACTCCGGCAGGTCTTCCGTCAACTCCATCCACGACCATTCCAACTATGACCGCACCGTTGGTATGGGCGAGGTTATTGTCGTGATGAACGGAGTAGAGTTCCGCACCCGACACAACGATTACAAGTTGAGGATGCCAAGCAAAACAAGCTCTCATTACAATGCAATACAGGACATCCCCTTTCCCCAAGTACCTCACTCAGTCTTAAGCAAGCCGACAGTTGCCGAACAAATTGCTGAAATGAAGGAGTATTTCAAGGCTTTCCATTACCAAAACCATCAGCACAGAGACTACAGACCATACTTTAAGCCCAACCTCTGCTACATGGAGGGAGCATGGACAACCAAAACGAAGACCCTGAACGAGCCTTTCCAGAGCGATAGACACTCAATTGATGCTTCTAGTTGGTTCGATTTGCAAGAAAAGATCCGCTACACATCCTACTCTGGATCCAAACACAACTTGGAAAATTTCTCTTACCTGCCGTCCACAATCATAAACGTTGATAACGGAACCGCAGAATACGCTCAATGGAACTACAGAATCTTGTGTCACCCAATAGAAGGTGATCTGCTACTAGCTGATCTTGCGCCTATTGACGACTTGGCATCTAGACTAGCACATAATTTTGACATGAAGAAGTTCGCACAAAGCCGATCCGCTCGCTTTAAATTGGCTGCCGCTGCACGGGATGGACATTACGATTTTGACCTTGGGTATGGTAGTATCAAAGATAGACTATACAACATGGGTCTGCTTGATAAAATTATGATGCAAATCCCGGGAAAAAACAATTATGGTGCTGTACTAAACGATCACTCATTCAACATGACTGTCTTTGACGCGAGAGACACCACAAATAATACTGCTCTAAATACCGCGTATTACCATCGTTTCTTCAAATATGATTCCAAGGGAGCCATGGGAACCAAGACCATTCATAGAGGATTTGCTGATCAAAACCTGTTTGTAGCCCAGACAACACAGCCTGATATTGCGACAATCAAGATAGACGATTGTCATACCCACAGGCATCAAAAGACATGTAACCGTTATTCGGCTCAATACTCCTATGCTATTCCCCTGGAAATCGTATATATGACACCACTTTACCGCTGGAATCCATACGATTTGCCAGACTATGGACACTTTACCCAGCAGAACACGGTCGTTATCACTGAGCATTACAAGAGAAATGGTCAACTGACGGCAGATAAGGCGTTCAACGGTACCAACAGCAAGTACTTTTACAAGACTCCAGCGGAATTCTTCAGTGCTGCCAAGCCTGGTGAGACGGACCGTGCGGACACGGATAAGGGAGCGGTAGGAGTTCTGGACAAACACGGTGTCGTCCGCAAGGTTGTTGCATCCGGCACTCACATCACACTTCCGGAAATAGAAGGAGTCGGTAAACTAAGAATGAGGTATCCCATTACTCCAGTTCACATGGAAGGCAGCGCTGCTGGAAAGGGTCTTTCTGCTGTGATCGAAATGGTCAATCACATGTCGAAATATTCTTCTTACTTCGTTGAACCACCAACTGCGACATCCTCCGCCCACACAAGCCTTCCTGACGGTCACTTTGCCACTCAATACACACACAGGGATCCCCCAGGCTATCACAGGCACGAAATCTACGTCTCACACGACGAGATGAGCAGTCTAGCTGCTGGTCATATCGTGTCCGTATTCACATCTACCGACCAGGGACATGAGCACACAATCGATATGGGATACAACAAGACCTCAGGTCAATATTACATCAACGCTTGTGACGGACTCCCACATTGTTGGGATGGACACGGCAGTCAAATCATCAAAATCGCCTAGGTCATCAGGTGATTTCAGGTTAATTGTTCGGTTTTCGTTTTAATAAATAACAGCCTATCGATACGTGCATTTGTATTTCTTTGTTATTCGCAAATACAGTAAACAGACAAAGATGTATGTTAATAATCAACAATGAAACAGTTGTAAATATATATTTATACATGCGAAAAAGTTGTAGCAAAAGATAACATGAAACTTTGTTCCTCGAAATATATTGGATGGCGCTCTTCAGTTAGAGGTCTGACATATTCTTTTGTCTACAAATGTCTTAGAAATGCATAATTTCGACGATTCCGTTTACAGCCGCAAATTATTTTTATTAAACAAGAGGCCCATGGGACTTAACGGTCACCTGATATATTTATACAGAGAGTTGATTTGGTTTTTAACATGAACAGAAATATTATTCAAAGTGACAAAAGACAATAAAACCACCTTATTCAATATCTAGCATACAGATTTAAGACTAAAAAGTATTTGAAACTAGCACCTCCGATTCTAAACAAGGAAAATGAAGAAATTTTAGCACACTGACTTCTTTGGGCCCCACCCTACAGCCCTTGTGGGTAGGGCTGGCTCAAAAT